TTGTCTCAGAGATTCATTGGGCCTTTTGAGATTTTAGAGCGATTTGGAGAGGTAGGTTATCGTTTGGCCTTGCCACTCCAACTTTCTATATGCTTCAGAAGTATGAACCCGATTCTTCATATGTGCTAGATTAGACTGATTTAGAGGTAAACGAGGATGCTTTGTATGAGGAGAGATAGGTTCAAGTTTTGGATACTTAAGAGCAAATCTTGCGAGGCAAGATTATTTCTTTGGTTAAGGTATTGTGGTGACACCACGGCATCGACGAAGCGACTTGGAAGCGGGAGGCATAAGTTGGTGATAAGTATCCGGACTTGTATCTTAGAGTTTGAACCTTTTTGTAATTGTTTTTGTGTTTGTTGTAATATATAAAGGTTGTGAACACATTGTAAGATTGATGTTACTCTTGTGGTGAGTAGAGATGTTATGTTTTCTATACTATTGGGTGTATGTTGTTGTTGTTGACGATGTTTGAGTTGTGTTAATATTGTGTTATTGTGGTATTGATGTAATTCAATTTTGAAGACAAAATTTCCTCAGAGGGAAGGTTATAGTGGCCCGAGTTAAGACCCGATCCTCTAACACTCTTTGGTTTTGAATGTTGTATCTATTAGTATTATTGGCATCGATTTTAGTCAATATATGATTTGAGTTGAGTTTGGGATTTGTTTGAGTTAGTTTTAAACATATGTGATTTTGAGTTTTTTTTTTGGGAGGTTTTGGCTGTTTGAACTTAGGTTCACTTGAGAGGTGCTTTGGTTGCTCGAGCTCGTTCGACCAATCTTTCGTTTCTTCCAGATTCTGAGTTTGCAGTTTGAACTTCTGGGAGCAGGGCCTTCTGCGCTTGAGCGGTAGTTTGGTCATTCGAGCGGTCTATTTGTAGTCTGAATTACTGAGACTTTGTATTCTACGCTCGAGCGGTGTTTTGTTCGCAGGGATGGTCTTTTGGGAGTTTGGTTTCTTCGCTTTAGTCTAGTTTTGGTCACTCGAGTGATGTGCTGTGTCTGACGCTCAAGCGGTGTTTTGTTCGCTTGAGCGGTCTTTTTGTATAAAGTTGCGGGGAAAAGATTTTTTTCTCACTTTTCTAATCCCTCTCTCCACAAATATGTAAAAGTTGTTTTCTTTCATCCCTCGCTAAATTTCTTGGGTAAATCCTCTGATTTCTCTCAATCCATGGTTTTCTTGATAGTTACGCTTTGGGGTAATAGGTAGAGCTCAAGGAGGGAGTTGTTTTGATCTGAAAAAGTTTGTGTTTCGTTTCCGTCAATTTTTGGAATTTGTTTCTCTTCTCTTTTATTTTGATGTAGGGACTCTTTTAATTTTTTGCATGGTATTTACCTTCGTTATGTGCTCTTTGGATAGAGTAGCATTTTGAGGGATTTGGGTTTGATCTTAAATATGTTTTGGTTCATAAAAGAGGGGTTTTCAGAAGGTTTTCTTAAAAATGTTGTTGGAATTGTTTATAGTAATGAGTGGTATTGAAATTTGGGGAAAACGATTTTTAAAATGAGAAAGGTTGAATGAACATATGTTATTTTAAAAATTGGGAAATCCTTGGTGATTCTTGATCCTTAACAAAGAGGGGGTTGATGAGTTCTTGAACAATGATGTGAGCCTTGTTTGAAATGGGAAAGTGGAGATTGAAGTTGTGATTGTTACTCCTATGTTGAGATTGCGGAGATATGGGATTATGAATTATATTTATCTCTTAAAATTTATTTATTGAATAGAGATATCTATTTTGGCTATCGGTGGAGGATATCATTGATTATTGTAGCAACTGTATGAGAACTAGGTTAACTGAAACCATTCACTCATATATTTCATTTGAGCACTAGTTTTATAACTATGCATTGAAAGGTTTGGTTTTGAGAAAAAATGGTGAATACAGTGGTGAATTTGTTTAGGGGTGTGGTTGTGGTTATTTACCTTGGCCTTTGTGTTCTTGATGAAAGTCCAGAAACTCGTGCGGTTAGGTGTCGATCTTTTCGGTTATTGCCACTAAAATGGCTTTTCGTAGTGCTTGTATAGCCTATTTGCAAACACGTACCTAGCAATTCTCAGTGTGTATATTTATTGCCCTATTTTCTATTTTGGAAGCAATGGTTTATTAATCGTGAATTGAACTATGGCATTGCATTATTTAAAAAAAAAGAAGGGGAATACACAAAAGAAGGGGAATACACATGTCTTGGCATTGGCATTCATGTGTATTCATCGTATGGCTTTGTTAAGCATCATACAGATCATTAAACTTATCTCTACTGGGTTTTAACTCAACCTATGTAAAAAACAATTTTCAGGTGTGTCTCCAGCAATGGGATAGCTTTGGAGGATAGTGGAGTTGGATGCTAATTTTTTGTTTTGTAATTCGTTTTGTACAAACCTAGGGATTTATTTGTATTGGACTTCGACTTGCTCTTGTTGTAACCACGCAATGTCTTCAAACTCTGTAACCATAAAGGCATGAATTTATATTTATTTCTTTTTGTTTATATATATATATATATATCGATTACATGCTATAAATTCATGATTTAGGATTGATGAATGTATTAATATATGTGACATCTTTTGTAATATTTTAAGGAAATTAATGAATCTATGATAATTTCTATAATTCTTTCGGTATTAAATGATTGAGACTATCCGTGTATCTATTAAGAGTTATAAATGTATCTATTGTTATTATTTTCGGGATAGTACGATACCCATCTGAGGCCAAGAACAGAGACAGACTAATGATGGAGAATAAAAACAAACAAAAAAACAGAGCTTTATCTTTAGATAAATAAGGAGATTCGGTGATAAACCCCTCAATGTCTAACTTGTCCTTCAAAAGGACAAGAATTTTATAGATCTTTTCAAAACCCCCTAGCATTTTAAAACTTATTTATTTTACTATAATACCCTCATATATATGTATATGTGTGTGTCTATCAACTTAGAATCACTCTCTTTCATCTCAATCTCTCTTCTCTCTGTCTCGCACTTATCACTATTCTCTTCATCAGTGCCATCACTACTCTCCATCTGCACTACCGTCACTCATCATGAAACTCTTTCTCTACCGTTTTTACCATCACCATCATTTGTTGCATCCACAACTTCAGATCTGAGATCATTCACAATTGTCGTCAGTGGAAAATGATGATTTGTGACAGTTCGCAAATCTCAAATCTAATATCTTTCACTCTCTCTCTCTTTGGTTTTGATGGTTCGTGCTCTCTCTCTCTCTCTCTCTCTCCCTCTCTATTTATGTGTGTGTGACTCACTATTTATGCTCTCTCTCTCTCTCTCTCTCTTTTCTTCTTCTTCTTTTTCTCTTGATCATCTGTTTTTGAACTCTGTCTCTTTATCTCTTTTGCTTCTTCTCATGATGCTCTGTTCTTTCAACAGTAAAATTTTACTTTGGTTCATGACACAACAATCTCTTGTAAAGCCATTCTCGCATCTTGTTTCAAAGTAAAATTTTACTTTGAATCATAATAAATTTTACTCTGATTCAAAATAAAATTTTACTTTGTAATTTAAAAAAAAAAAGAGAGAGTAAAATTTTACTCTAAATTTGAGTAAAATTTATTATGATTCAAAGTAAAATTTTACTGTCATTAAGAAGATCAGTATGCTGTTAACCAGAGTAAAATTTTACTGTTATGAAAACAGAATACATATTAAATGAACGAATCAGAGTCAAATTTTGCTTTTAGATCTATGAACAAACAAATAAAAAACTCTTAATTTTTCATTGCAATATCTTGATTTCTCATTTTTCTGTCAAATCTAAGTTTTATTTATTTGTTTTTATTTTTTTATAATAACTGATTTGAAGTTATTGATCTCAAATATGAGTTCATAGGTATCAAATCTGATATGGTGGTGGTTTAACGGTAAAAATGGTGGTTGCCGACCGACGGTGAGGATGAGCGACGCTGGTAGATGATGAAGATAGTGGAGATGATGAACAATCACCGAGTTGGTGAAGAGAGAAAGAGAGAGAAAGAGAGATAGAGTGTGTGTGTGTTTGCGCGCGCTGTAAAAGAAATGGAAGAAGGAGGGGATATAATGGTAAAATAAAATATTCAAATAACAAATTGTCCCTTATATAGAATTTTATAATTATAAGGAGGTTTTGAAAGTACTAAATTTTTTTTCTGTCCTTTTAACAAGAAAAATAAAATTAAAAAGAGTTTTTAGCCAAATTTCCCAGATAAATACGTATTATGTTTGGTTTAAGAATCACATGGTGTTGTCTGACTATCAACACTAGACACTAAAATACCTTTTTTCATTATTGCCACTCACTTATATGCGCAACATGAATTGTCAATTTGTCACACTCATGCATAGGATACACGTAGTAGTGGAAGGACAAACAGCTCCTCATAATTCCATATAGTGGGAATTGGGTGGGGTGTCAATTTCGCAAGCAATGGCCAAGGACGTTTTGTCTCTAAATTTACTTATCCTATGTCTCAAAATAATTACAATTATTAGATTACTTAATAAATTTGTAATGTAAAAATTTCGAGACATGATTCAACGATCGTAAATATCTTGATACAAAGAAACCAAAAAATTTGGGAGGAAGGTCCCGTGTGTCAAGAAACTTCTTTCAATAGAAATAAATGATCTTTGATCCTTTCCATTCTATTTCCATTATGTATCTAATGGTTCTAAAATAAGAATACAAATTTATAATTAATATAAATTAAAAAAAAATCATTACATTTATCATTGAATGATATAATGGAACTTCTCTATTATAAATATGCTTCATTATGGAGTGGATCACAATCTTAAATGGAACCACAGCAAATCAGTAGAATGGACAAATGATCAATGAGTGAATTATAGATTCAGCTCCAGTGGCCATGGATGAGAGAGAGATATTTTCATTTGTAAGCCACAATCATGCAAAAAAATATCTTCTTAAAAAAGTCTTTTATTGAACCAAATGGTTCCAAGGAATAGTATATTTGTTCTGTAGGGTCATATACACACACATATATATGGGAAGCATGAAACTGAAACTAGTTCTCTCATTTCAACCCAATTCCCTTATATATAAATTTCTGTTTCTCTCTCTGCAAATATTGAAATTGGTTACCTCTGTTTGATTTCCTTCATGTTTCAGTACATATAGATCATAAGTCACTCAAAAACAACCATGAGAGGTTTCTCAGTACTCTCAACTGCTACCAGAAGGTATGAGTGAAACTCCTTTCTATTGCAGTTCTTTATTGGGTAAATAATATAAATGATCCCGGTAGTTTATACGGTTTGTTAATTTGACTCTTGTTGTTTTAGTTTGCTCAATTTTGTCCCCTATTTTAACAAACTATGTCATATTGGTCCAATAAATAACGACCGTTAGGTTTGGTGGACGAAAAGTCGTCACGTGCTCAAATGATTTGTCAATGTGGTCTTTATAGTTTACACAATATGTCAATTTGCTCCATATTATTTTAATTTGTTCGATTTTGACAGGGACCAAATTGACACATCATGTAAATTACAGGGACTAAATTGACATATTGTTTAAATTTCCGTCCAACAAACCTAATGACCGTTATTTGTTGGACTAATTGACACAACCCATTAAATTAAGGGAAAGAATCAAGAAAATTAAAATAATAGAGACCAAATTGACACATCGTGTAAATTATAGGGACTATTTGCATAATTTATCTTTCTTTCTATTATTTCTACATAAATCAATCGTGAAACTAATTACAATTCTTCTTATATTGGTGTGTGATCTACAAAAAGGTGACTCACCTTAGTATTGTGTTTGATTTCGTAATTAATTTTTGTATTTCTAAACTTTTTTTTAGTATTAACTGGCCAAATTTAAGCCACATGCTTTGTAGATTAAAGGGAGAAGTGTTCTTGTTGTGAGAAATTATTTAGTGATCTTGGGGTGCAGTCACGTGATACTCCAAGTTTGTTGTGATTAGTGAAAAAGATGAGACTTATAATTTTATGTTAAGTAATTGAAAAATAACAAAGAGTGTTGTAGTTTGTGATTGGTTAGAGGCGTGGTGCTCTAGACCACAGAATAATTTTTCCCTTCTTGTGCCTTAGGCCCGTTAGAATTGTCATGACTTTTAATGAGGCTGCTCTGAATTTATTTTATGATCGGAATGATTTAGGTTTGTCAAAAATAAAAAAAAATAATTTTATCAAATATTAATAATTAAATGATTAGATCATATTTGTTATTAAAAAACTAGATAATTTATTTCCAAAATAACACGTGCTGTCTATTTTTTTAAAAAATAAATATAATTTGATCACATAATTAACAATATCTAATTAATATGATTTTTTTAAATTTTTTTTTATAGATAATCTAAACGTTAAGCACTACAAAGCAAATGGTTTGGTGAAAGTAGGCCACCAAATGGCACAACACTCCCCTCCCCTTCTCTTGCAACTCATGACTTTAAAAAATTCAAACTATGATACATAATTCCCAATACATATTGCTTGGTATTTACATTACTTTTATGCCATGATTGATAGTAATATATTCTTTTGATTTGTCATTTAGTAGGGTTTGTTTGATACAATTTATTGAGTTGCTTATAATTTTTTATTTTTTATTTTTTTTAAATGTGTCAAGAGTGTTTGATGTAATTTATACTTATATGAAGTATAAATAATTTAAGTAAGCTGAAAAAAATTAATTATATGGAAGTTGGAAGAAATGTACTTTAATTTTCTAATTTTCTCATTATCAATTTTTAATTTTAAAAAAATTATATCAAACAAGTCCATTTATGTTGGATTTGGATCCTCTCCAACACTTTTTCGTCTAGTCATCGTCTAATACTTGATCTAGAGGGCCACAATTCAATAGTTAATCATTATCATATTTTGTGGTCTTTGGATCAAGAGCTAGAGAACGATGGGACGAAAGGAGTGTTAGAGATGATGCCGATCCGACTATCTTAGTTGCCCCATCCAAGTTTCTAAATTTTTATTTTTTATTTTTTATTTTTCCTTCCAATTTTTGCAACATTAGATTGGAAGGAAAGGTGGCACTGATCACAGGAGGGGCTGGGGGAATTGGATCCTGCACATCCAAGTTGTTCTGCGAACAGGGTGCCAAAGTGGTGATCGCCGACGTACAAGACGAAAAGGGCCACTCGATCTGCAATGACATCGGCACAACTCATGCTTCCTTCGTCCACTGCGATGTCACGAATGAGATCCATGTCCAAACTGCCATCGACAATGCTGTTGCCAAACACGGCAAGCTTGACATAATGTTCAACAATGCAGGAATCATGGATTCTAGAAGATCCAGCATTCTTCAAAATGACATAGCCGAGTTTGAGAATGTCGTTCGCGTTAATCTCATAGGTAAAAGGTGTTCACACAGCCTAACTAAGTTCGGTTTTGAGATAAATCAAGAACTAAATCAGTTGTTACAGCTCTAAAAATTTAGAATTTAAACTGAATCAAATCAAAGTGTGAAAACTAGTTTGGTCTAATGGTTCTAGGCTTCAAATTGGTCACTATATTAGGACTATTGAATTTCAATCAAAATTGGTTATACCTATAGAAGCATTCTAAAAATAAAATAAAATAAAATAAACCGTCAAGAATACTTCGAATCTTACGAATATTCTTTATACTCAGTTAAGTTTGATAAAGAAATTATTCCTATTATTTACTAATTATTATAGAAACACAATTTCTACTACTATAAGAAGTGCAAAAATCATCTTAAATAGTGAAAAAGTACTGAACAAGAAAATACATAGATCTTTATACATGGAGAAAGTGATTAATTAAAAATACATACACATATATAATTTTCAAATTAGGATTAATTACAAATAAGGAACAAACTTCTTAAAGTTTAATATTTTTTTTGTTTATTAGTTTCTGTATTTAGTGAACTTTTAAAAAAAACAAAAAAGGACTTTCAGTATTAGATCTTGTTGAACTAGAAGACCCTAAAAATTGAAAAAAAAAAAAGAAAAAAAAAAGAGCACAAAAACGAGTTGTTTTTTAATTTTTAATTTTATAAATTCACTAATGATAAGACACAAAATTAAAATATAAAATGGATCACAGAAAATATGATGGTTGACTGAGATACATTTTGAATGTAAACCCTCCACAATTGGATTTAATCTCACCCTTTCATTGCATTTTCTATGAACCATTTTGTGTCTCATTATGTGTTTTTGGCACTATTTATTTTTTAGGAGTACTTACGTGTAAGTCCTAATAAGTAAATTTATTGTCTAATAGGTCTTATGAGAAAAATTTGTCATAAAAAAACATCATTAATTATAAGTTTTAGCGACAATTTATAAAAATCATGGCAAAAAAAAGTCACTTATTGTCAATTTTTAGTGACATATATAAAAAATTGTCACAAAAAAATATTTTTAGCGATAATTTTACCAAGACTTATTTTCAATAGGACTTGATAGGAATTAAATCCAACTATTAAGACTTATTGGTAGTTTACCCTATTTTTTATTTGGAACCAAAGCCTAATCACTCCTTTTAAGATTCATTTCTGTGTCTATGAACTAATCGTATTTAACAATTATTTGAAACTGAAACCCAATGGTTCTTATGTTTGAATCGGTCTAGATTAGTCTATCAATTTTACCAATTTTCTTGAACACCAACAGGTGCATTTCTGGGCACAAAACACGCAGCTCGCGTGATGCAACCTGCCCAGCGTGGAAGCATAGTTAACACGGCCAGTGTTAGCTCGGTGCTTGGTGGTTTGACCACCCATGCTTATGCTAGTTCCAAACACGGCTTATTAGGGCTCACTCGAAACACTGCTGTCGAGCTTGGCAAATTTGGCATTCGAGTGAACTGTGTATCGCCTTATGTGGTCCCAACAGCGATGCCGAGGAAGCTCTTCAACTTGGAAGATGATGATCCGTTGGACAATTTGTATTCTAACCTCTCTGGGGTGGCTCTTAAGCCAGAGGATGTGGCTCAAGCTGTTCTTTATTTGGCTAGTGATGAGTCCAAGTATGTGAGCGGGCATAATTTAATGGTTGATGGAGGTTATACGATTGTTAATGAGGGTTTAACAATCTTTTAATGGATTAATAATGTTTCGCAATGGAAGATAAAATTAGGTATGTAAATTGTAGTATGGCTAGTGAATTTTCTCTGCTTTTTGGAATTATGTTTGCGTACATATGGTTAGAGAAATAAATGAAATTTTGATTGAAGGCTGTGAAATAGATAATGCTTGTATCAAATCCCATGTGTAGCACTTAATTTCAAGTAGTGTGATTTTGATTGGTTCTACTATTTTAATTGATTTCAAATTTGTTTTCAAAATATTAAATGGGTATTAAAGTTATTTTCATGAATGAGTACTTTTTATTTTTTTTATTTTTTAATTTTTTTATTGTGGCTTCTGTTGGGTCAGGAGATGGCACAAATTGATGCAAACAAACACACACAAGAGAGAAACACATAGTTTACGTGGTTGGGCAGCAGAAATTCAGTATATTTTGAAGAGATACAAAATTCACTCTTGGTTCCTCACCACTCTCTTCTACTTCAACTCAATGTTTGCACACCAAATATAATTCACTGCCTATCTATTTATAGGCTTTCACTAAGGATGAGATGCACAAGCGGTGATGCCAAATTCACCGCGTTTCGGACGTGTTTAGGAGGCTTCCATGGTTGACCATCAGGAGCTTCAATTCAAGATGAAATTTGCCTCTAGCTTTTGGATCATCTTGAGCCTTTTAGTACCTTCATAAGAGAAGCTAAGCTTCTCTTTTCTTCTTCTTTCTTGATGGTTCTTGATGGAGAAGTTGAAGCCAACTTCCTCACAATTCTCCACCTTAGCGAAAGTTCTTCATCCAAACTATATAGTGAGCAATCAATGCTGCCATGCATCCGAAGGTGCTTACATTTGCTCCAAATGGATTAAGCCCAAACTCTGTTTGAGATTAACTTCAATTTTGTTCTTCTTCTGCTAGGTTTTCTTATGTTGGGAGAGATGCACTGTACTTTTGACCCTAACCCTCTCTTGGGGATTCTTTGTCCCAAGAGTCTTCTTTTGTGCAACCATAAAATGATCAGACCGATCATACCACTATCGTGGTTATTGCTTCATTCTGTAGAGAGATTTCTTCTTTCCAATGAATTTTTCCTTTCCAACTACTTGAAACCTTCCAGGTTGAGATAAACAAAATTTCTTCATTAAAATCACCATTCTTCTTGGTGAATTTCCATTTGCAACCGATTTCCTTCTTTCTGTTTGGTAGTCATTCCAAATCCCAAGTCTTGTTCTTATGCATAATTTGTACTTCTTGTTTTTCAGCTAGTTGTTCTTACTGGGGGCTCTTCTTGGCTGCATCAGTTATTGAGATATCATTCCCAACTACTGGAAATGATTAAGATACGATATTCGTGTATCTTACCGGTCTTCTAGTCTCTCTATTCAACTTCCTCGTAGTAATAGACTTTGATTGTTGCGATATTGTTGTAACTAATTCTTCTTCAATTGCACCTTCTTCAAATCATTCTTCTGAATCTACTGGTGCATCAAACGCCACCTGCTGCATTCCAATGGTTTTGTTTTTGTTAACTAGAATCTTCAGGCTTGAGTTGCTTAAGCATTTCAGACTTATTAATTGTGACATCTCGGCTAACTATGACCTTCTTCAATTTAGGGCCCCAAAGCCTGTACCCTTTTACTTTGTGACTAGAGCCCAAGAATACTTCTTTCTTGGCTCTAGGATGAAGCTTACTTCTCTGCACATGATAGTAAGCCAGACTACCAAATACATGCAATTGATTATAATCATTGGCATGGGTACCGAACCATACCTCCAAAGATGTTTTTTCTTCATTTGCAACAATTGGCAAACAGTTGATAAGGTGGTAGGCATATGTCACAGCTTTAGCCCAAAATTGCTTGCCTAAACCAGATTGAGCAAGCATATAGCGCACCTTTTCCAACGGAGTACTGTTCATCCGTTCTGCCATTCCATACTGTTGTGGAGTTCGTCGTTCAATGATGTGATGTATTCTACTTTCTTTTTGACAGTGTTCCTCCAATGGATTGGTAATGTTCGCTCCATAATTATCTGATCTTAAGGTCTTCAATTTTCTGCCAGTCTGGTTTTCCATAATCTTCTTCCGTGTTGTGAAGATGTTCACAACTTCATTCTTATTCTTCATAGTGTACACCAAACGTGATGAGAATATTCTTCAATAGATGTGACAAAACAACGCTTACCCTTTTTCAATGCAACTTTGGGAGGCCTCCATTAATTGGTATGCACATTGTCCATAATTTCTTCCGTTCAATGTTCTTCTGTCTCGAACTTGACTTTAGTCTTCGTGTAATCTCTGTCAACTTCTTCATTCTTTCTACTGTTAGTGGCTGCTCCACCTCAACTATACTTCCTTACAAGAAGTACAAATCCTTCTTCTTGTTTCCTTCAATGATAACCCCGAGTTCCCGATACTACTATGAGAGCTCCACCTTCCAAGGTAATCTTGAAACCTTTGGATGCTAAAGCGCCCAACGAAATGAGATTCTTCTTCAATTTTGGTACATACCATGCTTCTTTCAGAGCTCGAACTGTTCTATCATGCAACTTCAGTTGGATACTTCTTATTCCCATTGTCTCACAGGCAGTGTTGTTACCCATAAGAACTGTTCCACTATCTAACTTCTCAAAGTCAGAAAACTAGTTTTAGAGCTCGAATTGTTCCATTATGAAACTTCAGTTGGATACTCATATTCCCATTGTCTCACAAGCAGTGTCGTTACCCATAAGAACTATTCCACTATCTAACTTCCCAAAGTCAGAAAACCAGTCCTGATTAGGACACATGTGGAAAATACATCCAGAATCCGTAATCTATTCATCAGAATGGAAAGGAAATAATGGAGCAATACACACACAATCTGAATCTTCATTCTCATGAGCAAGGCTGACTATAGATGTCTAATTGTCATTATTCGAAAAATCAGCTTTCTAGTGTCCTTTCTTTCGACAAAGGGCACATTCATCTATAACAGGTATTCTTCTGGTTGGCATCCTTAGACATGGAGAGGGATATGTTTTTGTTGCTTCTGTATGACCCCCTTCCAGATTGCTTCTTCTTCTCCAATCTTCCTCATTGTACAACTAAGGATCCACCTAATGTGTTTTGATAATGGGCCTTCTTATCCTTTTTCTGGTACTCATTGTTAACCAATGTGTTAGACACATCTTCAAATTTGATTTCTTCCTTTCTATAGAACAGTGTGGTAATAAAGTGCTCATATTCATCTGATAAAAATTCAGCAGCAATAAAGCCTTGTTTTCATCTTCAACTTCAACATTCAGATTGAGTAGATTGCCAAGAATTTTGTTAAAGTCATTCAAGTGTTCGGACATCAAACTTCCTTATTTATACTAAAACCATAAAAGCTTCTTCTTCAAGTATGACCGATTCTCTATGCTTTTCGTCATGTGCTTGTCTTCCAACTTCTTCCAAAGATCTTTGGCATTCGTCTCCTTCATGACATAATACTTTTGATCTTTTGCAAGACATAACTGGATGGTACCACAGGCTAGCCGGTTGATCTTGATCCAATCTTTGTCAGACAATTCTGTAAGTTTGTCCTCTAAAGTGACATCCAAATCGTGTTGGACGAGCACGTCCAAGACTTTGCATTTCCAAATGTCGAAGTTGTTTTTTCCAGTGAGCTTTTTAACCTCGAACTTGGCATTGGAGATTGAACTCCTTCTTCCTTGGTTACTTTATGAAGCCTTTCCTTCTGCCATTCTTCTTCAAAATTCTGCAACCACCAAAAGAGCCCTTCTTCGGGGACGGCTAAGACAGTTTGGAATACAACATCCTTAACAACCTTACAAAATTCGGATCTGAATATGAAGAAATGGATAGCGTGGTTACGTTCGGAACAGTCGATTTAGCTAGGGGCTACTCTCTCTACATAAAAAATTGGCCCAAAAGTGCTCTCAAAACTGACTAAAACCTTTTAGGGAACATTCTGTTATTCAAGAGAATGTTACTTTAGAATATTCCATCACAGAGGGAATATTTCATTTCTGGCTGGGCTACTAACGTGGCGGTCAATGTTGCTGACGTATCAGCTGACCTGACAGTTAATCAAACTGCTAGTGCTGACGTGGCATGCTGATATGGCGTTGATAGGAGGCGCAAACCTGGCGACACGTGGCATTGACGCGTGGTAGATCGGCGGCTTCGGTGCTGCTTCTGACTCGGCTTGGTTCTGATTTAGGTGAGTGATGTTAGTGACGGGCAACGTGACGTTAGCTCGTCTCTTTCTTTTTGTTCGTGCATGCAGTGCATGGTGAGTAAGACTCACGCGCTTATCTTCTAAGGGCACGTGAGGGCGTGTATGGGGTCCTATGGACCTGTTCTTTACATCGTTGGACTCCTCTTGATGAGCCGGACCTCCTGGTGTATTCAGAAGTTGATTTCGACAACTTCGCAATCTGGGCAACTCTAAAAGAACACTCTGTTTTTTCTAAAAAATTGACCAATGAGGCTCTGATAGCACTTGCTGGGTCAGGAGATGCCACAGATTGATGCAAACAAACACACACAAGAGAGAAACACAGAGTTTACGTGGTTCGACAATAGCCTACGTCTATGGGCAGTGAAAGTTCAATATATTTTCGAGAGATACATAATTCACTCTTGGTTCCTCACCACTCTTTTCTTCTTCAATTCAATGTTTGCATACCAAATACAATTTGCTACCTATCTATTTATAGCCTTCCACTGAGGATGATATGCACAAGTCGTGACGCCAAATTCACCACGTTTCGGATGCGTTCAGAAGGTTTCCATGGTTGACCATCAGGAGCTTTAATTCAAGATGAAATTTGTATCTAGCTTTTGGATCATCTTGAGCCTTCTGGTACCTTCACAAGAAAAGCCAAGCTTCTCTTTTCTTCTTCTTCTTTCTTGATGGTTCTTGATGGAGGAGTTGAAGTCAATTTCTTCACAACTTCAAGCCAAAAACAACAACTGAACTCAACAACAAAAAAAGCACACCTATTAGTGAGGCTTCTTCCACCCGAACTTCCTGTCCATCCACCTCTAGAGCCAAATGAGGAAGTTGATAAGTGACTGAATTTCCATCTCTACCCACATGAGAACATTGAGCAGAGGCAAAACAAGATAATCTTTGCCGAATACTAGCAACAAAAGGGCACCAATATCAAAGAGATCATTTTTAGAGGACAGTATAGCCTTGATTACCTGTCTTCAATATGGATGTTTGTGAGACACAAATCTTC